TTTTGGCCTCGCCTTCCCCGCCAAAAAAAGTATATAGCAAAAAGTATGTACACGTACATACTTACTTTGAGTACCCTTAAGAGTTTTGTGGTCTAAAAACTTCAATAACTTTTGCAATTCTGCTCCAAATAACTCGATTTTTGGTTCATTCAAAAGCTGAACTATTCTCCTTCACACTTCATAATGTTAGTAAGGTGCCATCTAGTCATTTAAACACTCTACATATGTTCAAACAGTTCTGCATGAATTGCTCTGTAGGATCTTTTTTAGACCAGCTACAGATGTGATGTCTCAATGAAAAATGTAGAGGAAAGGCTCACCTTTTTAATGCACTTCAAATCGAGTGATTTGATTCAGAACTGCAAAAGTTATTGATGTTTGAAGATTCCAAAATCCTGTCTTCAAAGTCAAGGGCCAAATTTCAGGTATTGTTACAGGTGGGTTTTTGATGATTCTCAGCCTTTATTGTTAGTACATTAACCAATATCTGTGTGTAAAATACAAAAAAATACTCGTCATGACGCCCCAACATCTAGGAACAAGGTGCATATTTTTTCAGATTTTTAGCTCTCTTCCTGTTGCCTCAGGACTTTTCTATGTCAGTAGTTTTCTTTACCGCCCGGTAAAGATGACATTTTGTGTAGTGTCAAGTCCCAGGTGTCAATTTTGGCAATGTTTTTTCTCTGGCTTCTCATCAAGAGTCTAATTGTGTCTTACTCACAGTGGCTGGTGTAAAGCGTTGGAAGGCGAAAAGTGTAGACATTGCTGCAGCTTTCTTGCACGGAAACCACCTAACCAAACAAGTGTTCATGGAACAACTCAAAGGATTTAGAGATGAAAACTTTCCTGATCATATATGTGAATTGATTCTTCCTTTGTATGGCCTTCATCAAGCTGCGAGAAATTGGAACGACAAATTTACCAGCTCTCTGAAGAAGTTCGGTTTGCAACAATCCAAACATGATCCAACTTTATTTTATAAGTTAGTGGATAATGTTCTTCAGGGTCTCATTACTATTCATATTGATGACATAGCTATGACTGGTGAGGATGAT